TGAAGGGCAGGCTAGAGGCAACACGGTGGGCCATGTTGGTGATGCTCTTGGAGAAGAGACCGTAGAAGGGCTTCTGCACGTAGGGGGACCAGCTGTAGGTGATGATGCCCTTGGACTGTGCGCAGGATGAGTGTGAGTGTGTGAATGTATGTGCTGCACGTGTGAGTGAATGTAGGGCACGCGCGAGTTGGCATCGGGAGTGTGGGAAGAAGGCTGCTGGTCGGGCGGAGGGGGGGGGGGGAAGCCAAAGGCAAAGGAGGAGTAGAAAAGGGAGGGCAGGGGAGACGCACCTTGGGGCCCATAGCGCCGAAGGGGCCCATGTAAGAAACGCCATGCTCAACAGTCTTGCGGAACATCTTGGAGAGAGAGTGTGTGTGGTGCGATGAGGCCAGGCTATTCGAAAAGCAACACATCCAAAGGGGAGAGGGGAAGGGGCAAGGAGGGCGCCCAGATGCGCGGGTGAGTCATCAGCCGGAGCGGAGGGGGTTGATCATGGCAGCAAGGCGCGCGCGCGTGCGCGCGGATAGCAAGAAGGGGAGGGCCAGGGAGAACGGGCCCCGGCGGAATGGGAGGAGCGGCGAGAGAGAGAGAGAGAGAGAAGCAATGGCGCAGGAGCGAGACACGGGAAGCAAGGGCATGAGGAAGGAAGGCGAGCGGGCGGGCGGGCGGGCGGGCGGGCGAAGAGAGCGAGGGGAGGGAGGAAGACGGGGGATCTCGTACAGGGGGAAAGAGAACCTGTCTATCTGGTGGAGGGGCCGCGGAGGGCCTTGGCGGAGGTGGGGCGGCCGGCGAAAAGGCGCCTCGGTGTACTTGCCACCCGTGGATGTGGGGGTCCGGCACAGCAGCAGGTGACAGTCAAACGGGCATATGGGGGTGTGCCTGTACGCACCGTGCCGCGCCGCCCTGTGCGACGCCCGGCGCCGGGTGGCTGCCCCCCCCCCCCCCCCAGGAGGCACGGAGCAAGGCCTGGGCAGGCATCATGGGGTCGAGAGGGCGGCACCGGGCCCGGGGCAGCGCGCGGCCGACACCAACACAACCCCGTCTTCTTCCCCCAGGCTGGCAAGCCGGGGAACATGTTGCGGGCAGGTGGATCTAGTGAACGGAATGGCATTGTGTTCTGCTCGAGGGCGGCGCCGGGTGATCACCCAAAGTCACGCCCCAACTTATGCGACGTGCTTCGGAATGTTCTCTGGCCCATTTTTGTTTCCCCCCCGTCGGAACCCTTGGCCGGCGTTTTTGAGCGCGTCCCTGTGCGTCTGTACCCCCCGCATATGCCTATTTGTGTGTCTGTGTGTGTGTCTCCCCCCCCCCCCCTCCATATACCTCCCTGCCCTCAACAAGGGAGCGTTTTCCTTTCTTTCACTGACACTGTCTCATGCCCGTGGCTTGTTTATATCCCTCCTACCTACAGTGACCTTCCCTCCGTGCAAGGTGACTGGAGTTCAGACGTGCGCCCCCCCCCCCCCCCCCCCTCCCCTCGCCCGAGTATCGCCTTGCGGTTAGCGGGCCCGTGCCTGCCGGGGTTTGGGCGCCCAGTCCGACGGGGATTTGCCTGTGGGCGGTCCGTCCCTCGGAAGGCATGTGTAGCCGTGTGTGGATGCAAGCACCCCGAGCCAGGGGCCGCTACGAGTGCAGGCCAGTCGACTTGTGGGAGACCATCCTCCGCGGGAGCCAGGAGCGGGGGGAGGGGGGAGGGCGCCTACCCCGCTTGCCGATTTTGAACGTTGCCCGCGGCGATGGTTGTTCTCTCTCGCCCCTCGAGCTGGGTGTGGAGGGTGTCCCCCCCCTCCAGGTGCACCCGCAGGGGCTTGACGATATCTCGCCGTCCCCGCCCCGGGGGGGGGGGGGGGGGAGGGAGCGGCGAGAGACCCTGGGCCTGCGTCGAAGGAGGCGGCAGGCCCCGGCGACATGTTTTCGTCCCCCTCGCCCCGCGTGATGCAGCCCCTGCCAGCACATGCGTCCTCAAGTGTACATATGCAAATATGCTCACCCGAGGCATGCACCTTGCTGATCCGGCGACCGGCCGTGGGCCGCGCGAAATAGGCGGCTGGGGGGCGCCCCCCGCGAGGGGGCGACGAGGGAGGGTCGGACCAGCCGGGCTCGCCCCCCTCCGAGGGGCCGGCGGACCGCGGACGAGAGCTCGGGGATCAGTGGAGGCCTGGCGCGATGCGCGTGCGCTCGCGCCCAAAATGCCCCTTGATCCATGTAAATTGCCAGCACCGGGCCCCTACCCCCTCCCGACGCCCCGTCTGCGGTCCCTAAATCGACCGACCGCCCCTGTGCCTCGGCCCCTGCGCGGCCCCGGCCGGCCCTCGGCCTGGCACTTATGGATCTCCCACTCTTTCCGCCGCGTTGTCGCGGAAGCGCCGGACAGAGTCAGGGCAAGGCCGAGCGGGCAAGCGGCTCGGGGGACGGCCTGCTCCTTTCCTTTGTTCGGTTCGGCTCGGCTCGGTTCGGTTCGGGCGGGCAGTGGGGCACATTCCTCAGCCCGCCCACCTCCCCCCGCCCCTAGTGACCCTTCTCTCTGCCTCTCTCTCTCTCTCGCTCTCTCTCTCTCTCTCTCTCTTTCTCGGGAGGATCCCCAGACCAAGGAAGAGACCGCGGCTGAGGCGCCAACAGACGAGACTGCGGGGCAAAG